CATCCTGTCTTTCACAAAACAGACAAAATATACATTGGTAAAAAGAATCTATATTTAATAAATGGTGTTGGGAAAATTGGACAGCCAAATGCAGAAGATTAGGTCTGGATCCCAAACTCTCACCTCTCACACAAATCAACTGATGGTGGATAATAGACTTAAACCTAAGAAATGAAACCTTAAGAAGTCTAGAAGAAAATGTTGGAAAAAAATCTTATAGACATCAGCCTCAGTAAAGAATTTCTGAAGACCCCCAAAGCAATCACAGCACCAACAAAAATAAATAAATGGGACAGATGCCTGTGCCTTGACCTTGGACTTCCCAGCCTCCAGAATTTTGAGCCAGTAACTTCTGTACATTTAAAATTATTCAGTCTCAGATCTTTTATAACAACATCATAAAATAGACTAATGCAAACTAAAACGTGGTAAATTTTGACTTTGCAATGCTATTAGCACTAGAATATTGACAGAATACTTAATTTCATTAAGCTCCAATAAATTATCAAGCTAAATATCAGTCAGATGTGGCAAAACCTAAAAAGAACATAACAAGAATGAAAATATAGGTGTCATAAAAAATGAACAAATAAATTCCACACATTGAAATTGGCCAGTGAGAACTAAAGCTATAAAGAGCCCATATAGAATGAGACAGGAAAATTATTGATTATATTTGATATTGAGAATGCTACTTACACCAGTGAAAGTAGTTTTCAGATTTGATTGAGGAGACCACAAATTAGCTCATGTTCAACAGACAATTAAACTTGTAAGACCAGGAAATATGTAATGTATTCAACTCTTTCAGTTGCTCTATGAAGAACAAATGGGTAGGTTACATCTGGATGGGAGGTGGGATTGGTACTTTTTAAGTGTAATTCTCTAGGGAAGGTTGCTAATAAAATCTCTCAGACATGTCCTGATGGAGGATTGTGGAAGTGATGGTGACTTTATTTGTGGTCCCAGGCTGCATAGGCTGCTAAAGACTGGTGCCTTCCTTTGCTGCATTTTGTCCTCCAAAGACGTTGGTGTGGGACACACTCACCTCTTAATTGCTGGACAGGAGAGAAACAAAGGACAGAGGTGATGAGGAATCCACCACCTGATAAGACTCATGATGCAGAAGTCAAGGTGTGTAGAGGGTAGAAGGAGGGGATGGGGAGATCATCTGTCAGAGGCAAATTCAACATAACAGGCTTTCCCATGAAAGAAGAAACTGAAATTCTCACTCATAACTAGCAGGGGATGATATAAGGTCATCCTCTGTTATGCTGTGCCATTTATATATCATGCAGGATCAGAAATGCTTTTTAAACTAAAATCCATAATGCATTAAGATTTCACCGGGTTTTTTTCCTTAATATAATAATACTGCACCTCAGCCATCACCACTGGTGGTGATCTCAGGATGCTCCAAGCTCCTCTGTGATTTCCTGGTTCAGTTACTAGAGAAAAAGCTTGCGTGAGAAATTGAGCCCTCCCCATGTGAAGTCCTTTAAGGGTGACCCATTATCTGGCCCACCCTCAGCCTTTAGATATTTGTCAAACATATCTAATTTAATGTTCTTTCTCTCACATTTTGCTTTTGGCAGTGTCTTTCCAAAATAAGAAAACTCATGAGTTTTGTTTATCCCTGAAGACACCTGTCTCTTTCTGGAGCACAGGCTATTCGTGAATGCACAGTTGTTTTCGATTACTAGGAGGATGTGTGTATGTACCTTGGTATCTTCCAGAGTGTTCCACCATCAGGTGGACCCCAATAACCAAGCAGATGGAAGTGCTGAGCTGGTCGATGCCAGGAATTGTCCATATGAGTGATGCCACTGGGGCTCCCCATCTTCCAGACCAGTGAGGCTCAAGCCTCTGCCTAATGTTCAGCCTTCCAGCAAAGCAGACACGTGCTTGCCCCTAAGACACCTCCTTCAGGTCCTAACTGCCCACCTGGCAGCAGATCAACCAAGTAGGGTAGATATCTAACAAAAGACCTGATCTCGAGAAGGGTGGATTCAGTCCATATGTTGATACTGGTTCCCCTTGAGTGTTCTCTGGCTTTCTGAGTTTGATGAAGACAAAATGTATCGGGGGGTCACGACGCCCCGTTATACCTGGGTCCAGAGGCAATGTGCATTGCAAGAGATGGGAGAGACAAAGGTGTGGACACAAAAAGTAAGGTGAAAGGGTGTGGGGAGGTCAGGGGACCACCAGTGTTCCCGTGAGCCAGGTTATACTGATTGAAGTCTAGCACCCGTTTTTATTCTCTTTTTCATGTTATAGATGAAAATGATTTCATGTGAAAGGCTCGTGGGTTAACACTAAAGCGTATAATCTAAATGGGAACAAGGAGACCACGTCCTTCTTCCTACTTTATCTAGTTCCTCATTTACTGAGACATGAACTCAGGAAAGAGATATGAACATTGCCTCAGGCTTAGAATATCAAAATGCTCTTATCTGCTGGGCTGACATCCTTTTATCATTCTCTCTGCCTTCAGATGACAAGCCCAAGTCCGTTTGCACATATCCAGGCTGTAGACCTCAGGCTTCAAGGTGGGGTCTGTTTGCAGACATCCCTGATTGGTGGAATGTCCCCCTAAACGTGCAGCAGCTTTTGCTCAGTGAACTGCATGTCCACAGGTTGCTCTTTGGCAAAGTCCTGTCCTACTCCTGGGGTTCTCATGTCTCCACGCTAACCCTCAGCAAAAATGGACTGAACTATTGGCACAGTTCCTTCTGCTGCTGCAACACGGACAGAATGAGAAGCTCCAGAGGGACACTCAGGACTGCCGCAAAGGCTGTGGGCTTTTTACAAGTACCAGGGGCCATCTGTATATGATCTTCCTAAACAGACATCAATGAAATACAGCAAAGTAATAAAATGAAGAAATAGTCAAACAAATAAGAACATTTGGGATCATTTCGAATGCTCTTATGTAAACTTATTCATATATCAAATTAGAATGATTGTGTTTCTACATTCTTAGGCTTATTGTCATGATTACATATGTTAAAGTTACTCCAGTACCTGGCCCTGCAGCAATGTGGGTGTCATACTTATGAGCTCATTACTTTAAAATAAACGTGCCTCTTGGTTTTCATATTTGAAAATCTTTGTATTGTCTGCACCTCAAGAAGTTTTCAGGGCATGGAAAGAAAAACTCTTGCCTGGAAATTAGCCCTGAACCCACATGCTGTGCCAGGACCAGTGCTCAGTGGTTCCTGGGCGCCCTCTGGAGGCCCTGAGCACCCCTGCAGACAGGTTTTTGTCTGGGCCCATGCTGGGTTCGGAGCACAGTGCCCTGGGCACAGTAGTATGTGCCGGCATCCTCAGCCGTCACGCTTCTCAGCTCTAGGAACACTTGGTTCTTGTTTGTGTTTCTGGAGATGCTGACTCTGGACTGGAGGTTGGGGTTGTAATTAGTGTTCCCATTAGCCCGGATCACACCAATCCACTCAAGGCCCTTCCCTTGGGGAAGGCGGACCCAGGACATGGAGTGTCTCGTAACGGAGTATGTGTAGGCAGCACAGGTGAGGCTGAGCTTCTGCGAGGAGACCACCACTCCCTCCCCCCATTGCACAAGGTGGTCCTCGCTCAAGACACCTGGGGACAGAGAACAAGCATGAGTGACACAGACACATCACCTCATCCCCATCACCCCATTTCTGAAACCGTGGGTCACTCACCATGGAGAGCGGCCAGCAGGCAGAGGAAGGCCAGGAGAGGGGCCATGTGTTTCTCCGTGAGGACAGTGCTTCCCAGAGCAAAGACACAGAACGTCTTGCTCACACCCCTGCCTATATCTCTCCTTGAAGCTGGGGCCTATTTGCATAGACAGAGCCACAGGGACTTAGGGTGGAGGGGCCACCTCAGTGGGAGGTCACTGTCCCCAGGGCTTTCCTGGGGGAGGGTCAGGGAAAGGGCCCCATCCTGTAGAACAGTCGAGGGATCCTCTGGGCTATAAGAAGATGTGGATTCGAATATGCTTCAGGACCACAGTGCTCTTCCCAGGATCCTACGTGTGTGGCACCCTGCTAAATTATCTTTGGATGATTAGCTGAAAGCCATGGTTAGTACCTGCTTTGTTTCAGGATGATAAAGTACTCTTAGGCTGGACAAATGCTTCTTCTCCCGTAACTGACTAAACATACTAACAATCAAATCTAATGTAAAGTATGAATGACTTCGGACACAGTAATTAACAAAAAACAGTGTCCTTTACTTCTTTTCTTTTAGATATATTTTTCAACACTTGTTTATTTTAAAGTCCTAGATACAAATTTATATGAAAAATAGCTCAGATATAGACTCATCAGGGGGTGCAGCTGATAAAGTACAAAAGCTTCTCGTTACTTACTAACATGGAGGGAGGAGACCAATCAAAGAAAACAACTTTGCAAAGAAATTGTTTGAATATTCCAACTGAAGAAAGCAGGAGGCCCAGATGGACTTCCCTCGTGCTCTCATGAGTGAAAATGTAAGTCATTAAAGACTTCTTACACTTTCAACCATGATGGTGACTGCATTAATGCCAGTCTAATGAATTCAGAATTAAGGGAAACACGCAAAGCCCTGTTATTCAACACATACCCTCTTTCTGTGTTTGCGAGCAGCCCTGGCACCACCCCCTCTGCCATAGATCCCCCAGCTGACCCTCTGGCCTGAGCATCAGTGGTGAATCCCTGTGGAGAGGTGGTACTGTCAGTGGGGAGCATCTCCTAGTCTGTGGTCCATGTGTGGGGCCAGAACTGGACAATGGAGTGAATCTCAGTGCTGCAGGGAACACACTGCCTTCAGCCACTCCTCTCTGGCTGCATGGTGGGCTGCCATCTGACTTCCCCACTGGCAATCAATCAGCAGTGGTTGAATCAGGTATCCACCATTGAAACTAACACAAGGGGTGGACCCACAACACAATCTCCTCTATTCCTACACCCCTTCCACGTTAAGATTTCTGTAGCTCCAGGTGTGCAAAACATATGTAATCGTCATGTCAAATGGGGATGGCATCATTCTTGTTGTGTAGTTTTTCTATAAGATTTTCTGATTGTAGAACTGTGTAAGCAATGACCAAAACTGACGGGCAGACATTCAGCATGGAATTCCCCAAAGGCTGCTGGCTTGGTGGAGAAGTAGATCTGCCTCAAGGAACTCAGAGCTTTTTCTCTCTGGGAAGGTACACAGTCCACCAGGGTGCGGACACAGCCTCAATCTGTGGACACCCATGGGTCCTGGGAAGAAGGAGCACAGGTACATGTAGCCCCATCTTCTCCTCTGTGGCGGGCACGAATACCAGACCACTTGAGGGGTGTGTGGTGCTGCCCAGCTCACTGAGGCTTCTCAGGAAGAGACTGGAAGGCCAGGGAAGGGCTCCCATCTTTGCAGGAACAGCTGATGCTATCATCAGGGCAGGGCTGTGTTTCCATAGAAGAAAAAAAAAATAACGCTCAGTAAACCAGTGATGGTATCATTTGGAACTGTCTGATTTTCACAATGTATGCACAAGTGCAAACCTAGATGTGTATTGGTTGAAGGCTGACTAATATATTGTTGTGTGAGCACAGCAATGACAAAATGCATGTGTGTATAGTCCTGTGATATTAAATTAATAGCCATACACCATGTTTCTCAAAACCGAAAATTAAAACTACTTCTGATTCTCTATTCCATCAATTCCTCCCCTCATTCTTCGGAATCTCCATTCATCATTACAAAATGTAGTCTACATTTTATTTCAAAATGCATGTCAGTCTTGTATATCTACGTGATCTTTCCCCACTTTGCCTA